AATTCTGTTATCAGACATGAGAATTATATACAGTTTATGGGGTTGATCTATTAAAGATAATAAATAAATTAAATTCACTAAATAAATACTAAATCTATTTATAGAATCTTTTGCTTGACTTCAGAGCTTAGAACGATCAATTGAATTTTGCTTTCAGTACAAGCCAATACTTTTTAATATTTCTCTGTACTTAAATATGTCATATCAAAACAACATCAATCTCTTTTAATAAGTAGCCATTTTGCTATGAAATGTAACAAGATTCCCTTCAATATTTTATGAAAGAATTACTAAAATAACAATACTTACTGATAAATCTTGTACCATTTTGGCAAATTCACTTTCACTGTGTTCTATCAGCCAGACTACTGAAATTTCAAAACCACAGTAAAACTACCAGAATTTTTATCCAACTCACCCAGTTATGGAAACAACAGTTGTCATTCTGTGAACTGTATTAATTTTTAATGAATACCATTTGTCTTTTTCACAAAACCTATTGCCGATTTTCCATTGGCTGACAATAATACAGGATATACACTGACTGTTATCACCAAGGAATAAGCTATAAACCATGACATTTATATACTGTGCAAAGATGTATAGCATTCTCTGCCAATATCTCTATCCAACAAAATACAATGCACTGTGGGTAATTGCCAGTTTTTTGGGGAAGTTTATTTTCCCAGACAAATTAAGCTTTGACATCAGACATTGCTTTAACTCTTATTTTTATAACCAACAGCTCATTGTAACATTTTTTGCCTGCCATCAGCATGGCTGATGCTAACCTTCGGGAGAAGGTCTCATTGTGACTTCTCAGACTAATGTTTTCAGCTTACATGAAGCGGAAAAAGTATATTGAATCAACTGCTAAGTCTGCAGCTGAGAATGTTTGTTCACTATGTCAAGCTAGACAATTTTTCTCACCAGAATCAGTTTGACATATTTATAAGTCTACCATTCATCCTTGCTTTGAATATTGCTTCCACATCAGGTCTGGTGCTCCTGCTATATATTTAGAGATTTTTTATAAAAATCCAGAGAAGAATCTGCAATGTTATAGGTCCTGACCTGGCATTCAGCTTAATTCCCTTTCCCATCACCATAACGTAGCTTCCCCATGCTTTTTCTAAAAATACTTTTATGGTAATTGTTCTAATGAATTTTATGCTATGGTACCTAGAATTTATGAATTTAAGCACAGTACTAGATTGGTGACAAGGTCATCATTTTACAGTTGAAATGGCTAGACATAGCCGTAAGTTTTATGCTAGCAGTTTCTTCTATTGCACTTCTTACTCATCAGTCATTATCTTCTTAATTCTTCTTCTTTTATTGTCCTCTCTCATTAATAGTAGTTTATCTCATATTCTCTTGCATTCAGTCACCCACTTGCATCCTAGTGGCTTTATTGAGGTGCTTGAGGTAAAATGGTTAAAAACAAAAACAAAAAGACAATGCAAAGTGCTAAGAACTAATATCTTAGATTGTGTAAACAAATAAAAACAGAGGAAGCCTGTCTATAAAGTTACCTGACATAGTGTGTGTGTGTGTGTGTGTGTGTGTATATATAGCTTTTGGAACAATGTTTTCCCCTTGTGAATGATCGTTAATTAATTTGAAACTTAAAACCATTTGTTTTGCATTCAACATCATCACTTGATAAGACACCGGGAGTGTTGAAACAAAATGGCTATAAAACATGTTTATGTTATAAATTTTTTAAATAAATAATTATATATATATATATATATATATATATATATATATATAAGTATAAAGACTTTTCTGGTGAGGAGGATGACTAGAGACCCAGAAGGATTAAAAAAAAACAAAAAAAAACATACCTATCAAAGAGCAGATGAATTTTCTCATAGGATCAACAACTATCTAGCATGATGGGACCCCCCAGAGCTATGTATGCATCTAATGTGATAATGAAATGAAGTCAGAATCCAAGACAAAAGGATCTCCCCTGGCTCAAGGAATCAACTTCCATATGTCCATAACTGAAGTGAGCCTTCAATCGACCATGTTTTGATCTGGAGAGGAATGGGCTCCACTAGGCCTACATGCTACATATGAATGAATACCTCTCTGGTTCTCAACACATATGTAGAGGGAACCAAACAGATGCTTAGTAGCCCTATGACCACACCCATTCATGCCACTGATAGTAATTAATGTCACCAAAACAACTAATGAATAGAAAAAGCTGCCAAATGGAAACATACAAAGCTGACCATTAAAACAGGTGGAATAGATTAATACTATACTTGATTGAAAACAAGAAAGAATAATAATTAATTTATTGCTATTATTTAAATAAATAGTTTTTCTTTTGTTGAGTCTGTGTGACAGAAACATTAATTTGAGTTAATTTGTGGAGATGTCTAGTTGATACAGATGAGTCCATGAGAATTCATCAATAGGTCTACATGATATAGTATAGTGGCTGTGTGTTGACAAAACCAGATCAGGAAGATGCATATACAAGTTATAAGCTAATCAAGCCAGGTCAGGGTTTATTTAGGCATATGAAAGTTGTAGGCTGTTCAAAGTCCACTTGAAAGGAATCACAGTAGACAGATGAAAAAGACAATTATGAGTCTCATAAAAAATAAATGGAAAGAAACTAAGTTATTTGCAGAACCAAGTGATGACTTGAGTTTAAAGTTTTTTTTTTATTTATTTTTTTAATCATTTCACCCCAAGCAAGAGAATAAAGCCACTAATATGCAAGGAGTTACTGAGTTTGAGAGCAAATAAGAAAAAGAAAACATTATTAAAGAGATAGAACAATAAAAGAACAGGAACTAAGAAGACAGAAAATAATGATGGAAATTTCATTCAAATTTTTAAAGATCAAAGTTGTCTGGAAGGCAAGAAGCTAGAAGAGAGTTTTACAAGCAAGAAGTGTGTGAAAACAAACTGCTAGCATAGAACTTATGATTATATCTGGCCATTTCAACTGTAAAACGATGAGGCCTCATAGTCTAGTAGTACACTTAAATTCATGAAGTCTAGATACCAAAAAGTAAAGCTAATCAGAACAATTACCATAAAAATATTTATGGAAAAGGCACAGAAGCTATGTTACAACAGTGGGAAAATAACTGAAGTCAAGATGCCAGGTCAGTATCAACAAAATTACAGATTATTCTTTGTATTTTAGCTAGACTATCTAAATACATAACAGAAGCACCAGATCAGATGTGACAGCAATGAATGGTAGACTTATAAATGTGTAATGTAGATTCTGGTAAAATAAATTGTCTCACATGACAGAGAACCAATTTTCCTAGCAGTAGCCCTAAAAATTCATTCAATATAATCTTTCCACTTCATATCAGCAGAAGACATTAGCTCAAGAAATAGATTCTAGATTGTTTGATATAGCGAAAATATCTTTTGTTTTGTGCCAAGATTTAATTATCCAGGAAGTGTTGTTGTTAGATTAACTTAGATATGGGAGAATTCCTTTCACAATTCTCAAATGGTAAAACACAGAAACACAAAGATTGTAACACTTACAAGAATCAGCTTACATTCACCTTGGTATCTAATATACAAAGAAAACATCAGCTCATATAATTTTCTGAAGTTGCAAGATTAACTATTTTTATTAAATCCAGATAATAATATCCATCCTATTGTTATTATGTTTCTCTTATTTAATCCATTACTTTGACCAATATTTTTGATATTCTTGTATTATCTTAACTTCTGAAGTAGTTTCATTATTCCATATGTTATTCAATTATCATCTTTAACACAGTATATTAATAAACAACTGAGGAAGGCCAAAGAATTTTATGTTGAAGCAACAAAGATGAAAAGAATAGTTTGAAAATTTTCTTATCAAAATTTAAGATAATAGAAAAAGTCAAAGAATTTATTACCAAAACTTTGTTAAAAGCAATAGTCCAAGAATATATGAACTAATTTTTCCTATGCAATCATGTTCATCATGACATTTTCAAACAATGAAAGTACCTCCAAAAAGCATTCTTGTAAGAAATCAATATTTGATTCACAAGAAAATCAAAAGCATTATTTGTAGGTAATCAATAAATGAAAAATTATAAAATTAGTTGGACATATAATTTTTATGGTCATTTTTGTTTTTCTATAATTTATTTCCTTTAAACTAATAAGTTGGTCAGGCATTGTCTGTGCTGAAATAGATTTTAATTTTTTTTGGAATTTCCAGGATGAAAAGTTATTTTCTTGCTAACTATTGTCTTTATCTTTGTTGTTATCACATTTTAGCCATTGTACCCTCCACCTTTCTTCAGGTGCTTGTTAAACTGGATAACTTTCAAGGAACTTGGAACTGAACCCTTTATTTAATCTACAGGGATAGATTGTTCATGTTCTGTCCATGTCTTAGGATATCTCACCTGACACAAACCATTACCTCAGTCAACCACCCCAATGAATCCATCAACTGTTGGCCTTACTAACACCCTTACACCTAATCATTTCCCTTATTAATGGCAACTAAAGAACCATATATCAACAATTTTGTCACCTTTTCACACAACTATGTATATATACATTCTGAAAATTGATCAATACACATTGAAGTTTTACTCCATGTTTGTTCTTTCCTTTATGACCATATGCTTGTTATAAGAACAAAGATGAGGAAAATAGTTTATAAATAACAGATTTTAATTTTTTTATTATCTATTACAGTTTATGAATTGTAAAGAGACAGATGAGTTTTTTAAATCTATAAATTATTCAAGATATTAGTTATTCCATTCTATTGTGTTATTTTGTATATATTCTTTTAAATATGCAGAAAAAACTATTTCCATTCATAATGGTTTGAAGATGATAGGAATAAACATTGAAATATTACCAAATACAATAATATTCTCTTTAAAACATTATTTACTATTTCTTTTAGTTTCCTTTATTGATTCTAGCTTCCAATGACAGTGAATTTATTTATTTAATCTTGTATGATTTTCTTTCTCTCTTTTCAGTTGTGATACCTCGACTTGCAGGAATGGCGCTGGCTAATAACAGTGTGAGTAACGAGACTAAGAAGACTGACATTGCCCTGCAACTGTTTGAAGCATACAGTGCCATGTCGTGTTGCTGTATCCTTTATCACTGACTGTAAAAACAATGAATACAAATAATTTGTATAACTGGCTCAATAAGCAAATAAGTCTGGCTTCTTACTCTAAATCTATGAGATTTTCTTTCTTTAAAAGGAATCAGGTAAGTTAATGTCAATCAAGACACGGCAGATTACCAGTATGTGAACTGAGCCAAATTCCATAAAACTCTGGTTTTCAGAAGATATATCAAAGGCAAAAGAAACAAGGGAAAGCACAATAGGCCACCTACCTGATAAGATAATGTGAATGGATAGCAGAACACAGAGTGGGAGGGATGTTAAAAAGACAAACATTACTAAAACCTGCAGAGAGTAAGAGGTTTTGGAGAGCCATAATTGCTCACATTCTAAAGAGACAGGGCCCATCAAAGTGAATCGAGTCCATGAGAATTCATCATTAGGTTTACATGATATCAAAGTGAAAGGGGTTTGATATGCCATCAGATACAGCACAATTTCTTTTATTTCCTCTCTTAAATGTTTTTTTTTTTTTACTGTTATAGTTTATTTAATTTAAATATAATCTCATATTTTCTTTTTCATTCAATGTATTCTCAAACCTTGCAAGTTGCAATTGCTACCCATCTTCTTTAATCTACATGTGCCTGTGAGATTATAGCTTGGTAAATAACCCCTATCAGGTGACCCTTGCTAAATTGAGCTCCTATACCAGACTTTGCAAAGTGTGGTGAATAATCCAACCTAGCAGCATGTTGCCGAGCCCCTGTACCAGACTTTTCAAAGTGTCATGATAGTGGACTGTCAAGACTGTGCCAGATTTGACAAAACGTGGTAAATAAAGTTTAGATACTGACTGACTTTAGCTCCACCTCATTTTCAAATCCCTGGTTTTCCATTTTTATATCTATTGACCAACAAAATATTCAAGCCTGGAAGCATTCACCCAAAATGGAGTCACTTTATTGACCCATGCACTGAGAATACAAAGTTTTGAGCAATGGCAAAAGGATGAACATGGAATTGAGACATGTCTGTAGTGAGAGCAATTAGATAACCAGTGTTTCAGCATTCAAACTGAATCGATTATCTTCTCATATGACCTATTTCTGATCAGTACTGCTGCAGTTTTGACAATCCTCCCAGAACCATTTTTTTTATTTCCTATTTTGGGGAGCATGGGTAGATATAAAAGTAAAGATATGATGCTGAAAGTGGTAAGAGGAGATTGAAGGTATGTGAACTGTACAGTACTGTAGACAGACAACAATTTCTAATATAAAAAGGCTGGTTGCATCAATAAACATACAACTATCAATTTAAACAAGATATGTCTTGAAATCATACAATGAATGGAATGGCCATAATCTCTTGAATTTAATGGCTTTTATCATAAAGTGTTAAGACATTTATGTCAGTCTGAAATTGCCTTTTGCAATTGAAACCAAAATGTTCAATGTATTTATAAGAAGAATTTTTGTATTGTAAAATTTAAATGTCTTTTTTGTGATCATTTTAATTGATAACATATACTGGAAAACTATAGTAATTCTATAGTATTCCAGTCATGAATTTTATTCAGTCTAATTCTGCTATGTGCAGTCTTCCTTCATGGCATAGTACAATCATTACTCTCCACGACTTCCTATCTACTGTAGCTCTTAGTAAAGTTTGTGTTTATCTCTCCTAATCCCTGTTCTGCTAAGCATTTAAACAAACTTGTTAGATAGGTTATGTGCTGTTCTCTGCCCCTATTTGCTTTCAATCTGTTCTGGGAGTATCAAATTCTCCAAGTCCTCTTTCCTCATTATGTGCCCTAGAAATTTCAGTTGTCTCTTTCTGATTCTGACATTTTTGTTTCTATTTCCTCTAAAACTTTCTTATTTGCTTACATGGTTAGTCCATGGAATTCTCAGCTTTTTTGCCTCAAGTCTCCTCTTTATCTATGAGGAAATTGTCCAGCATTCACTACCATGTAAGAGGACTGATATTACATAAGAGTTGAGTACTCTTTTCTTTGTTTCTGACAACATTTTCCAAGTCTTTATGAAAAAGTATTTGAGATTACTTAAAATCTTATTGTATTGTTTTTTTTTTTTGTTGCTCTTATAAATATATCATTAAAATTTTACTGACTTCAGTCAGTTGATATCTATTTTAATGAGAAAACATTGACTTACATAATAAAATCTAACATTGTATAGTTTTGAAAGACATAGGACATGTGATTTTTAAATCAATCCTGGTAAATCTTCCTGCAATATAATTTTTTAGGCTAACATTCTGATAAAACTCCTCTCCAGTCCTTTGAGCAGGAGTAGAGATTTATTTCTGGCTTAGGATTGGGTTTTCAATTCCTTCTAAAGTATACTTCAGCTCTATACTTTTAATATATGCCTAAACACTGAAATTTTATTTACTATTTATTTTCTTCCCTTCCATAAGAGTAGATAGGTTTGCCTAGTGTTCAGTTCATACTTCTCCGCTGTCTTTTGAACAGGAGTAGAGGTTTCCTGTTTAGGATTGAGTTTCTGATTCCTTCTAAAGTCTTTTCCTTCTATTTTATTTCCAGTATCCCTTTACATCTTAGTGGCATTATCACCTTCCTTGGGGTGAATTGATTAAAAAAAAAAAAAAAACTTTTTTTTCTGTCATTTTATTAGTCAAATGCTGCTAATTTTTCTGGCAAATTGCTCTTATTTTTTAATTCAGAATTAATGCATCCACCACTGTTATTTAATGCCATTTTCTGAAATTAAATTATCAGTGGTAGGGACATTACTATTTTAATAATTGTGACCTGATCTATGATTTCTTTGACTTAATAAATCTGCTTAACGATATATTACACTGTCATACTTTGTAGAGGAAATCTCATTTCTTTACCTGGAGACAATAGAAGCATTTTGAAGAAATAAATTATTTATCTTGCAAGTATAAGATTAATAAAAAGGAAATGCTGGTTACCAAATAAAGTATGCAGAGGAAAAAAAAAATAGAAAAACAAGAAATCCTTGACTCATTTCTTTCAGTCATCAATGATCAATTGGTGCAGGAAGCCATGCTTCCTGGTCTGCGTTACTTGAGGCAGGATTTAGCTCAAATTGCACCAGAACGAGAGGAAGTTATTACCTCCATGATTAAAGAGTATGAAGCAAAAGTGGACGCTTCAAAATCACTTGAAAGGTAAATGACATTTTATTCATTCTGTAAGTACCTATTTATTTTTAATACATTAGAAAATACATTTCCGTTAGCATATGTACATGCATACACTTGTGTATAAGTGTGCTTTATATAACACATATACACACAATCCATACATGTTTGTGCATATATATATATATATATATATATATATATATATAACACATTACATGATTGCAAAACAAGGAGAGTATAGAGAATCAGAGGTGGGGGGGCCAGAACAACTTGTTCACTACTTTGCTTCAATAATGAAAGTTGTAATGGCAACATTCATAAAAGATGCATACCCATTGTACATGACTGAAGTTGCAGTTTCATCAACGAATATGTCTCTCTAACTGCATACTGTTTACTTTTAGCAGTCAAGAGTTAGAAACACTTCACAGTGATGCACATTATCAAAGAATAATTGTTTCTGAAAAGGGGTTTTGAGAATAGTTCCTATAGAAAGACACAAATATATGACTAGTTTATATATAAAATCTTTTTATAAAAATGTTTCCATAAAAAAATGCTTAAATTTATTCACAACACTAAACAAAATCAAAAATAAAATTAGCTCTTCCCAAATATAAAATCATGAAAATGTGCCAATTTATTATTCTCACTACTGTAATAGAATAAAATATGGAATAATTATCAGATTTTATTTAAAATCACTAAGAATCTGTAGTCCCCAATATTTACCTGAAGAAAATATTTATTGAAGATACTTTTTAAAATCTTCAATACCCTTACTATTCTACAAAAAAATTTATATAAAAAAAAAAAAATCAACAATAGTAACAAATTAGATAAAAATAGACATAATATTATCTACCAACTCCTTAATATCTACTATTCAAAATTATATAACCAAAACTATTAAGAACAGAATTAGCACCAAAAATGTTCACTATTCTAAAGTAGGCATATATAAAATGAACTGTAGCGCACATGTGCACACACACACACATATATATATATATATATATATGTGCTAGTTGCCCATTTACACTAAACAGACTGTGGCAAATGAGGTGGTTCCCCACAGGATCCCAATGATTTATAGTCATTTGCAGTTTCTGCAACATCATGTGTACTCTCAACATCAGACAGCCTTAATCCAATGACAAGGACCAGTTAAAATAATTGAAGACTGTGCTACATACAATTCAAGTAGTCTGATGGTAAGACATTGGTGAGGTCATTAATGTCTGAATTATATCACAATATGACAATATCAAGTACTGAGCTAAGTAATGACCCAGCTCAATGTGACTTAACTTTGGTGATTGAAAGGGAACTGATACCTTCAGCATGATCATGTCTTCCATAAGGAGAGCCTTTCAATCAGTCACCTTTTGAGAAAGTGGCTTCTGATTATGCCAAGTCAATGAGTATGTGTATGAAAGACATAACTTCTGAAAGGACACACACTGAACATCATATTACTAAACACTTCTCAAGCATTGCTGCAGCCTTAACAATGGTACTGTTCTTTGCTCTGTATAGATTTCATGCTGCCTTTACAACTTATTGATAAGTAAGACATCAAAAAGGTGGCACAGACTGTTGGTCCTCATAAATCACAAATGTATGAGGCTCCAAAATGAATCCATTATATATATATATATATATATATGAGAGAGGGAGATTTGAAAGTGCAGGAAAACATTCTTCTTTAAGGATCCTTTTCAACCAACACTTATCAATATGTTGATGAATATTAAATTGGCAGAATAACAATTCGCACTGTGAGAAAAGAAAAGTATAAAGGAGGAGAAAAATGGACCATGACTAAAATACAAATTCATTAATCAAGGAGGAAAAAAAATATACTGGCAAAAGAGTCAATATAAAGGGTTCCTAGTGAATATAAAATGGAAAAATTCATTCACATACCTCCTAAAAGGACCAAGAGAGTAAATAAAATGCTCTGTTTGCAAGGAATTTGGCTCCTTTAATTTAATAAAAACTGCTTCTAATGTGCATAAATGCTAAGCAAACCAAACTCTGCACAGGAAAGTAAGCAAATTGTCATTATATCTTGCTACACACTCCAAATTATCTAGCAAATGTTCACCAATGGCCAACAATATATATATATATATATGATTTTACTTACAGCTTGTTTTAGCTCCCAAATCATTAAAAAGAAAAGGTCCATTGCTAATACGGCTTACCTTACAAAAAAATTGCTAACTTCAAAACTTTTACATTGACCTGAGAAGAGTCTAAAATTTAAACTAAAATGGTGGGAAAGTTTGGTTATGACTGATTATTTGAATGTAGGTATTTTTGCTTTAGAAGTATGTGATTTATTGTTAATATTTGCAGGAGTCCCAGCCTGTCCGGATCACCTGCCACAGGTGGAAGTACTGAAGATGTACGTGCACGGGTAATGAGCAGAATCAAAGACACAACATCCAAGGCCCACATTCCAAATATCTTCACTCGGAAAAAGTAGCCTGCTGCCAGCCATTAAGAATATGATGACAAGTTCCACCTGTCGTGAAATTAACTTTGCCTTTTTGTATCACACCTGTGATTTTGATTACTGCTACAAAAACAACCAATTTCCTTCAGAATGCAGTCAGATTTCTGAAAGAAAAAATATCGATGATAGAGAAAAAAAAAAATTGGTTTTGGTTTAATATTTAGAATTTTTTTTTTTCCTAATACCATATTTTGTTTTTAGCCTGTTAATTCTTAATTATTTTCTGTTTGTTATATTCAAATTCAACATATGTTCACCTCAATTTATCCTTTATAAAAAATTCCCTAATCAGAATAGAGAGTAAAAAAAAAAAATAAATAAATAAAATGCCTGCATTTTATTAAATAAAGTTTAGTTAAAAAAAATCTTTTTAAATAATCTACACATCTTTATCGTAATTTCTTAATCTTCTTTATATATTGCTGTTTATTATTGGTTTCATATGACAAATAAAAAAAGAGGAAAATATCACATTAAATATAAAAGCCTACAAATTAATATGGTTTAAAATTCGGTTTTAAATAAAAAAAATTATATATATATATATATATATATATTAAAAGTTAATGAAAATACATAATTACTATTTTACTTTGAAATTTTTCTTTCTTTCAACAGAAAATGTAATACAAAATTTACAATAGGCAAATTTATTAAGGTTGCAATTTAAAAAACAAATGTAAACCAAATGAATAAGTCTGATAAGAATGTATTTTTTATCCTGAATAAATTTAAGAAATTTTCCCATATTACAATGTTTTTCAGTTAGCATTAGTAATAAACAAATTTTACTTTGATTTTTTTTTTTACCTTTTCAATGTGTTATAAAATATTGTAGAAGCATACTGACTTTTGACCTTAACATCTTCAATATATATTCAACTAAAATTAGAATCTTTTTTTTTTCCTTCAACCCATTCCATAATGTTCTTTGGGGAAGATGAAATTTCCTAAAATATGGTAGAAGATAGTGAAACAAAACAGTAAATATATTGTTTAATAAAGCTAATTTAAAAAAATATTTTTTCTTAAACCTTTTTGGCTAAGCCAATATGAGTGACAAATGTCACAAGATTCTAAAAATTATAGTTCAGTAATAAAATACTTCAATTTTACAGTGAAACTAATTTTTTTTTTATCAAATGGTGAACAGAAAATTTTCAAAATTCTTTTTTTATTAAATCTTTTTATTTGTATTGAATTTCTGGAGTTTTTTTCATATTACATTTTCTTTTTACTTATTGACTTGTTCATCAGTGAAAACTAAAAGCAACTAACACAATAGTTGTGATTAAATTCTGCCATAACCTCCTGACAACCCAATAGTCCATGAAAAATTAAGAAAATAAATAGACGCCTCAAAAGCTTCTCTTTTTTTAGAGTGCTGATTAAAACTGCTGTTTTGGAAAAGAAATGACAAAAAACACGTATTTGGATTTCCCCCCTGCCTACTTTATTATGAAAAAAAGGAGAAAAATTATTTCTGAATTTTGAACAAGTCGTATTATGTAATAGTCTCAAAAATTAAAAAGAAAAAAAAAATGTGAATTGTCATTTTTGTCTTTTGGGTCAGTCTGTTTGTTTTTCTCTCTTTTTGACCAATTTGGAAAATTTTCCTCTATTTTGTATTTTCATAGATGTTGTTGTTTACATTGTCTAATTCTTGGAATTTTTTTTTAATTTATATATATATATATATATATATATATATATATATATATATATATATATATGTGTTTTTGTTTCTGGAGTTTGAAAAAAAAATTCCAATCTCAGTAAAAATATTCCTTACAAATTTCTTAACATTTTCATATTATCATGAAGCTTGTTTTTTTTTTTTTTTTATTATTTTATTTTTCAGTTTTTTTTTTTTTTTTAGTCCATTAAATCTAAATCTTTGCTCTCTGTTTGGGATCATTTCTAAATGATTTGATTGCCAAAATTCATGCAAATTTTAGCAAATTTTCTTATTACGGCAATGTTTGGTTCTGACTTCAACCCTTCCCCTGCCATTCCAGATTTTTTCAGATATTAACAAATAATAAAATAACACCCAAAATTTTTTACTTTACCAAATTCTCTTTATATTTTTTTTTTTTTTTTTTTTAACATGTGAGCCTGCTTTTTCCAGATCATTCTGCTTGCATTTATAATAACCCATAACTCATTGTCATGTTTTTTGTTCTAACTTTCCACCTATTCCATATATGGTTATTATAAAAAGATCTTTTGTATTGATAAGCTGTATATTGTAAAGGCTAACCCCTGCCCCCATATCTTTTATTCTATAATATATTAATATATAAAAGGGTTGTGTATCACATGTTTGAAACAAAGCTGATATGTTTAACTACTTATCAGATGTTTATATTGTCGATTATTAATCAAAGAACTTTTAATTGCTTTTATCTACATAGATAGGTAATACATGTCTACAATTAATTAGTATCTTTTAATAAGATACTGGGAATTATTTCTTTTGTTTTCTATTATTTACCTTAAGCTTATGTTCAACCAATTTATGTGAACATGTTTAGTGTGTACTTGCTGATAAAGCCTTCTGCTAAGATCATCTTGTATGTATATTTACTGCTAAGTGGGGTGATTGGGATCACTACTTTCCTGTTATGTGTGTATTTTTGACTGATAGTGGTAGGTAATACTTTTGTCTATATACTTATAAAAACCTTTGCTGTTATCTTGGAATCAGACTATTTTTAATGAAGGGAGTATTGACCTTTTGCCAGGTTACTGTGCATTTATATCAAATAAATATCTACCTCTTGTGGAAGTAGTCTTTTTGTTTTAGAAATTAATTTAATAACTGCTACATGATCAAATATTTACAAAATTAAGAAGCTTTTTTTTTTTTTTCTTTTTCAAACATTCTTTATAAAAGTTTTTCTTTGGTTAATATATTCTTCAGGCTTCCAATTCAAATATACAAACATGGAACAACATTGTAATTTAGAAGGAAAGACACATTGCATTCCACAGGAGCTTACTATATTATGTAGCAATATCTGTATCATTTTGATAACCAGATTAAGTCTTATCTATCATCCTAATCCAACCACCACTTTTGTTGCTAAAGCATTCATGAAATGGTGAAAGTGAATCAAAACAGAAAATAGTTGAAATAGGATGAGGGATTAAAAAAAATGTTTCTGGAAGCTAATATGAGTTGCTACATGACATAGCAAGCTCCTTTGATGTAATGTATAATTTCTAATTTATCCTAAGCTACTCCTTGATGGCAGAAAAATATAAGAATTTTCAACCACATTTTTTCCTTTCCTATTCTACATGCTTCAGTGTAGTAAGAGTTAGTGAAATAGATTTATAGATTTGTGCTATACTAAACTATGCTTAGGGAATACTTAGTAGGAAAAACCATAGAATACGACTGTCTTGCAGAACTTTACTGTTATAATGATTTCATTTATTATTGATTAAGGCTTTGTTGTATACAAAGTGATGTTGTTTTAACTAACATGGAATTTAATCCATCCAGGACAAGTGTTTGATACTAACCATTCCACTTGATTGTTACTTTAAATTCAGTGTTTGTTTTTCTATTTTATTAGGCTACCTCCTCCAATTTCTAACAAGCGCTGAGTAATATTCATGTGAATTTTAAATATTTCAACCCTTGAATTTTAAAATTATTAAAACTATAGCCCTTCATAAAGCAGTGTTTATATGAGTATCAGTTAAGTACATTTTTCTACAGATTTCATTGTAACCAAAAACAAACAAAAAAAACAAAAAATATTTATATATGTTAATCAAGATTTAGCCCCGACAGTGTAGCTATCAAAACAAAATACATCTATTTATTCAAGTTCAAAAATAAATATATATATATATATAGAGTTTTTTTAAATTTATTTCAAAAGAAAATTTGCTGTTAGCACAGGCTAATTAACATAAGGAATTTGTACACTTTTTAATAACATGTTGCTTAAAATATCTTTTCTGATTTTACCTGACTTCATATCTTGAATGTCTCTTTTGTAAAATTTTTAATCATCCTTTTTCATACCATAAAATTGATATGGTTAATTAGATTATCATAATTTTATAAATTATTATGAACAATGAGGAAAATAATGAGCTAACATAATTTCTGTTATTATAATTATATACAACAGAGTTCATATTTGTGGCTTTTATTATTAGATTGCTACATTAGGAAAATTTAATTTTGTGCATTTCCTTTCAATTTCTGTGGTGAAAAAATAGGGTCATTAATTTTGATAAAAATTTTTACATGTATAAAATATGAGGCCAGGTAAAAAAAATTTTCAATTTTTTTCCAAGTAATGCAGTTTTATCATAGTTAACATTTTAAAACCTTTTATTTGGTTCTTAATTTTATCAATTTTAAACTTAATTTCTCAAAATATAATTAAAAATAAACCCCTCAAGCCAATGTTCAAAGTTGAGAATGTTTTATATTTAATTTCTATGAGAAAGAGAAAACAGTTATCAACTCTTAAAATGATCAAGCCTTTGATATTTGCTAAAAAGAAAAAAAAATCTACCGGGTTGCCAAACAAGATTCCATGGAAATGTTAGAGATTTTGGGTGTGTTAATCTCTTGGAACAAAGAAATTTTTTTCAATATTTAAAAAATTGAACTTAAAATATACTTAAATACATATCTTTCTCGCTGGTGCCTCTAAAAAAAAAAAAAAAAAAAAAAATAAAATAAAATAAAATTAAAAAAAATACAAAAACAAAAATGGCTGTATGAGAAATTATTCTCGCAGTAGTCATTTACTTATCTATGTTCTTGTTGCTATGGCAATTGCCTGGCCCATCCAATACTTGTTATTAATATTATTATTATAGCTGTAGGTCATTAGAGTTCAAATTGAAAAAGAATTTTAAAACAACATATCAAGAGTTTTAATATTAAGTAGATAAAAAAGATTTAAAGTTCTATTTTAAATTATATAAAATGC